TAAATCAGTTGAATGAGTATTGTAATGCATATATCTTCAATTTCGTTTTTAATATATGTGAAATCAACACTACCGAGGTACATGTATAAATAATACCGGTTTTTCTCATGATTGATTTAATACTTAGGTTCAATGCGATTGTTAAAATCCATTTCTTATTATTTGAGGTGTAATTGGTTTAAGTGTGTAGATGCAACCTTTTGACCTTTGCAACCTACATGATTATAATGAATATCAAAGTTGATTATTATATTTATTTGTAAATTGATGTTTACTATGAAGAAGTAGTGTATGTCACAAATAACCCTTCCTCCCCTGTCACTATATCTGAATATTTATATTTTTTTTATGATACTAGTACGATCCTCATTGCTTAGACTGATATTGTTGTTAATAATTCTATGGTATTCAATATTATGGGTTTTAGCTTCAAGCAATCACGTAAAAATGAACTAAATTGAAGATGTTGATGACTACGATCATTAGTTCATGGACTATATGGAACGCTTTAAATTGCCCTTGAGGTTATCAAATAAAGGTCACTTAGAAATCCAGAAAAATATTTTTTTTAATTGTAAACTAAATAATAAAAATTAAAATTGTTTATTATATAAAATAATTAATCCATTGTAATAACATGAAAACGAGGGCAATTAATTTTCAGAAAGTGTATTTCATCCTTATCAATGTTAAGTTTGCTATTTTAGTTTTAATAATTCAATCGTTTTATCTTTTGAATAATACATTGCAATTTTCGCTTGATTGATGCATTCCTTTTTAATAAAAAGCTTTTACTTGGTGCTTTCAAAAGAAAGTGGCTTCTGTACATGTGTATGTGTATGTACGGTGCTTTGGCAGCTGTGATTTTACACCGGAGATAAATAATGAACACAGTTTGTGTATCACTAAATTTTGAGAAATAAAGCTAGGAAAATAGCTGTTAAGCTGTAATTCTGTCTATCATATTTGCTCTATTAGTAGTAAATGTGTTTACGTAAATTTTAGAGATTTTCCTATTCAATAATTGTCAAAATAAGTCGTATTTTAATTATTCAGTATGCAAAAATTGTGATGTTTGTTAGTCCCAGTTCGTACGAAGTCCGAAAACGGGGACTTACCGTATAACTCAGTCTCCGTCCGTGCGTGTGTGCGTTCGTGCATCCGTCCAGAGTCATATCTCAGAATCCCTTGGACCGATTTCGTTCATTCTTTGCATGTGCCTAGTACTTTATGTGGGACATATGCACATGCAGTAGTATAGCGATTCGATTCAAAATGACCGACTGGCAGCCATCTTGTTTTTTGAAAATGTTTTATTTTGGACATGCTTTGTTCGTTTTCATTCAAACTTGGTACATAGATTATACATGTTAGGATACATGTTCATGACGATTTATTTCACAATTTGATCAAAGATGGCCGACTGGCAGCCATCTTGTTTTTTGAAAATGTCGTATTTTGAACATGCTTTGTCAGTTTTCATTCAAATTTAGTACATAGATCATACATGTTAGGATATATGACCCCGACTGTCTGTGAGTTCCTGAGTCTGTCCGTCCGTGTGTCCGTTCGTCCATGCGTCAGTCTGTCCAGAGTCATATTTCAGAATCCTGTGAACTGATTCCGTTCATTCTTAGCATGTGCCTAGTACCTTATGTAGGACATATGTACATGCAGTGGTTTAGTGATTCGATTTAAAATTTAAAATTCTTCTGTTTTTGATCCTAACATGTTTTATTGCCAATTTTTATTAACTTTTTCTTGATCAATTTAACTAAATTAAAATTTAATTTCCCCATTATATATCATGTTTTGGCATTTTCAGTTGAGCAAAACACAATGAAATAAATCAGTATTACTCTCACCACAATCAGTTTGTTGTTCATCCTTGGCTGACATATATGTCAAACAGATACAAGATAGAATGTAAATGAATGTACCATAGTCAGTCAGGAAAGCATAAACAATTGATAAATTGAATTCTAAATGTAAGTATAGATAAATACAAATCCATGCTGTTGTGTAATAAGACCATAATACACTTGGCCAAATGAAACACATAATTAAGTTGAATTTAACATTTTGTTAAACAAATGCCCTTTTTATGAATTGAGCTTTGTACAATTTTTGTATACAAAATTGTTCCATATATGGGATACTTCTTGTATACAAAAGTACATTTTTTTTACACTATTTGCATATTATTTACATACTTGTTGTATACAAATCTGTTCCAAATATAGGGTACTTCTTGTATACAAAAAATTATACATAAAATGTACAAATTTATTCGGAATTTGTATACATTTTGCACACAAAAGTATACATTTTGTTTAATGAATTTTGGTAAGGGAACTTAATTTAACGGGGACTGTGTCATTTATTGTATACCTATTTCACGGGTCTTTGTGTATAGCAAACTCAAACTAAAACACCATGAATTCCAATGATGGTGGAACACCATTACTAATTTTGGGGTAAGTTAATACAATGATGACTGAACTGAGTAGAGTAACACTAACCATGCACATACATCAAACAGAAGGGAATACATTGTTGTTTCTATGTTTTTTCACATCCATGAGTATGCCGTATTTGTTCTTGAGAAATAAATCTGCAATAGAGGACTGTCTGCGTATTTGTATCTGACTTTATCCATCCCAGTCTGCGATCAGTTACGTCACTCCACACCCTAAACATGATAATTTAGCGATCACATTGGCATTGTTGGTTTGTTGTATTACCAGTAATTACTTGTTTTGAATGATCATTGTTTATTTTCTCTTCAGAATGGGGTGAGTTCCTCCACTGTAAAGGAAAAAAATTCACCAATTTTGATGAAATTCGTATGGAGATTGAAGCAGAAACAGACAGATTAACCGGTAAAAATAAAGGCATATCACCGATCCCAATCAATCTTCGAGTTTATTCTCCACATGGTAAGTGTGCCCATGTTGTTTTACTCCACAAGCTTTGCTATGCGATGTATCTGGTGTACATAATGAAACATGTTGTGTGTGACTAATGTATCTAGCAAGAGTAACAATAATAGTATTTGAATGCATTTAAACATCTGGATTTGCAGTATTCAAATAGAATTATGTATGACTTTGCAGTGTTTTGAATTCTGTTTCATTTGTTCGTAAGAAACTATGTTTTCATCAAATTAGTGAACAAGCTCTTTTGAAATAGTAATTTGTGCAATATTTCCTCCATATTTACTCGGCTCACTATTATTATTTAAATTATTATCTTCCTAAATTTTTGCTTTCTAAAACTAGAAATTTGTAGACATTAGAATTTCTGGAAGTATGTGATTTCTATTGAATCAATCAGGCTTTATGTTTGAAATATGAATTTATCACGATAATACAGCAAAATATGTATGAAGGCAGTTTAGTGATAGTATTGACCAAGACATAGGAGGGAGGTATGTATGGGGGTTTAAAAACTAACTCTGCGAGGCAATTGTGCGATTATTGCACTCTGCGACAGGATCGCAGTGTCACTCTGCGAAAAGCACGATTCACATTGGTTGGTTGGTCGAAAAGCGCGAATCTCAATGGTCGATCGATGTAAGGGTACACAGCATGCCTTATAGAAATGTGTAGTTTTAAATGGTTATTTCGCCGACTGCTCGCGAACTACGATAAACAAGTATTTTCCGACGACATGCCGCACGGTTCGATAATCAGCAAGTATTTAACATTGATTAATTAACATATATAACATCCCCCGGAGGGCATGAAAGGGGTTACAAAACACATGCACGTTGGTGTTGGCTGCCTTATTACGGTGTAACATCAGGGAGCTGGTAACATTAACGCCATCTTGCAGTTGTAAGGCTTCGTCCACAACAATGCTCATTAGCATAGGCGGCAGCTTTTAAAGCGAGTAGAGCGCGAAGTACGTTTCACACGATGTTTTTTTCATTAGCAAGTATAATTTATTATGACTGTATTCATCACTTTGAATTCTCAAATAAAGCGTGTAGCAGGTCAAACTGTTTCTAGGCAATCAATATCGTTTTATAAAGAATATTAAGAGAAAAAAAAACATAAAGCTATTTGAATGGATTGAAACTACTGCTGAAGATAGAAAACTAAAACGACAGTGTCAACGGAAAATTAGATGGGTGCACACTCTCTGCATAAACGGAAACGATGGTTTTGTTTATTTGGCCGATGTCGAGGAGCAACAGATTTCCTGTACTCACTTTCCCGTCTGATCACCGACCCTCAACGGTCTCACGTATCGGTGTTGTCATCGGTTAAGTAGTTGAAACCCTTTTGCGTTGATGCGAATATTTCAGCCTAATCGTCCCTTTCGAACCACTCGCGAGGTTGGTCATAATATGACCTAGATGAAAAAATTCTTGAAAAATAAATATAAATTGCGTAAACGAGGGGTGAACGCGAAAGTCCTGTAATTTTATATCGGAATCACGACAGGCTTTATGTTTGAACATATTAACATTTGTCACAGTTGAGTAAGAATTGCCAAAAAAAAGATGATTTTGAATAAATTCTAGAATGTGAATAAATTTCATAATAAAATTAATAAATTGATTGAGCAAGGATTAACAGATTACTAGAAGTATTAATTACCTGATTGGTGGATGTATACACATTCTTTTTGAACAATTGAGAATTGTTGTATTGTACAATTTTCATACGAGCCACATCTTCTAATTCAGGTTTTATAATAGTTGCAATGCTAAGCAATTTGTTTCAGACAAGTCTATCATAATTTAGTAATGATGGTGGTTTAATTTAGTGTAACAATTTTGTATATATTTGATTTCGTCCTCAGTGTTGAATCTGACCTTAATTGATCTTCCCGGTATGACTAAAGTACCGGTCGGTGACCAGCCTGCCGATATTGAACAGCAAATCCGATCGATGCTGATGGAATTTATCACAAAACCTAGTTGCTTAATTCTAGCAGTCACGCCGGGCAACTCTGACTTGGCAAACTCAGATGCTCTAAAAGTTGCCAAAGAGGTGGATCCGCAAGGTACATGTGTTTTCTTTCCCAGTATTACAACTAATTATTATGTAGATTTGTTTTTGAGTCAGAGTTCTCTCAAAGTTGTATTGTCAACAAAACTTAGTTGAAAACCCCTTCGATTTTGAGTAACTTGGTCATAATTCAAATCTGAAAGTTATTCTGATTGAAGGCTATATGTACCTTTACTATTTGTCTTCACAACTATATGTCAAGTTTTTGCTAAACACAATTAATCAGAAAGTATGTGAAATTTTAAGTTCACAGTTTGCTTGAATATAGCAAGTAGTTGTCCAATAGGGAAGGACTGAATGACAATACAGGATATAGCTCAGCAGTTTGGGGTGCATCTCAGACTTTATTGATTTTGTATCAGTCCATCTACTATCATCAAACTTGATGACTCAAACACATCTGAATCCATAAATCTTCAGGGGTATGTTCAGCTCTATACAAGAAACTTCTGATGCAGATATCCTACAAATACTGTAACTGTTGCATTTAGTACATACAACACATATACAAAATTTTACAGACAACTTTAAAAGTGAAAAAATAATGATCAAGACATGTAGACAATGTGAACATGAGTACAGAATAAACAATTGAATTAATATAGAAGAATTCATTACATTTACATTTATAAAACATTTGCGGGATAATGTCTGTTGTTCAAAGGGTAAATGCAAGCTTGTATTGACCATAATTATTTTCTTAATACCGAGTTGATCAAATTGAAGAAAGAGATAACTAGGAAATGAATGTGAATGTGGGTTAAAATTATTTTTTTTCAATGCTTCATTTCATCCTGAATTGTACACCTTTTTTTGCAGGCTTACGTACTATTGGGGTAATCACAAAATTAGATTTACTTGATGATGGTACAGATGCACGGGAAATATTAGAAAATAAACTTCTGCCTTTGAGAAGGGGTAAGTCATCCCATCCATCATATGGCTGGTAATTACAGTCTTGTGTATTTGATAAGATTGATACACTTCACAACAGTCTGACAATATTCATATATCTTCAGGATATATTGGTGTTGTGAACAGAGGTCAGAAAGATATTGAAGGCCGAAAAGACATTAAATATGCACTGGCATCCGAGAGGAAGATCTTCCTCAGTCATCCATCCTATAGGCATATGGCTGATAG